GACCCCATCTCAAAAAATAAAAATAAAAAATAAAAGAATTTATGCTACAGTATAAAAGGTTATCCTCCCCCCTTTGTGTCTCAATAAATCTAGAGCTGTAACATAATCATGAACAAGACATTTTTATTCTTGGGTTAGTAGATATAGCTTAATAAATTATATTCTTTTGAACAACTATTGGAGCAGTGAAAATTGCTAGTCATCTTCCATTTCAACTGAAAGCCTTCCTCTGAACAAGTTGTTAGGACATGTTCAGAGATGCCTATCATGAGAACTTATAATAGGATAAATTAACTGTGGGAGAAGAAGGTAGGGATTAGTCACTCACAGGTTGGCAGCATAAAGACAAGGTAAAGGGCTGCACACCAGGCTGACAACCATAAGATGAACTAGCATCCTGCCTTGGTTTGAGTGGGTGCTTATTTCTTAATGACTTTATGAATTTTCCAGAATTTGATAATAATGCTACAAAAGCGAAGAAAGAGGTTAAGTACATAAGTTGTAAAAGAGATTTAAAGAGTTTCTCTATTTGTGGTATATTCCTTTAGGATTAGTTTCCCAATAGAGAGAACAATGGTTAATTGGATAAAATATAAAACTACAGGCAAGTAAATACAAACATGTCAAGTATCAAATGCTAACTCAATGAGCACACTCTTGTCTTGTTATGTAACTGCTTGAATATCTCAAAAATACCTGCTCTAGGGTAAATTCTTATTAGATAACTATCCTGAGTTTTAAAGTATCCAATGATAACCAATAAATCTGTTACCTATAGGGTTACATGATTTACTTAGTGCTTCTGAGACAAATCTCATACTAACAAGTATTTTATCACTAACAATCTCACCAGTCTCCCAGAATATCCTATGCTTGCATGGGCTACTGTGGGTATGACTTTGTAGGAAGTTGAGTGAATTAGAAGTGATGTTAGCTACACAAGAAAGGAAAGAGTCAGTCTGATGCTGAACGAGTTTGGAAGCAACAATGAATATTCAAAAAGGAAAATATCATTTTCTCTCTGGAATAGAGATAGTAGAAGTTGACAAATGCAGAAGTGGCTACTCTTAAAATCCCAATCCATTCAGGCTTTGCAAAATCTGAATAAGGTCCAATCCCCCCAGGATTACTGATGTGTATAATCAGAAGAGGGGATGGTCAGAGAGGACATATTCAGAGGACTAAGTAAAGATAAATTACATGATGATCTTTTCTGTTACAGTCCTTCTTTCTTTTTCTGTTCTTATCCTTGTTTAATGTAACAGAGTGGGCTCCTAAGTTTCGCTGGTGGCACCAGCCAGTATCCAATTCATTGCCCATTATTTGCAGAAGGCATGATTATTTTTTTCCATAATACATGTAAGCCCAATATATAGAATCCTTGAAGTATTTCTCATTGCTCCTAACATGCTAGCCTAATTACAACTTTCTTGTTAAGGGTTGTTTCAAAATATACAGACCTATCTGAATATTCCTGATTTTTTTTTTTTTTTTTTTTTTTTTTTTTTAATGGAGACAGGGTCTTGCTATATTACCCAGACTGGTCTTGAACTGGGCTCAAGTGATCTGCTCACCTCGGCCTCCCAAAGTACTGGGATTACAGGTGTGAGCCACCATGCCCAGACTATTTCTGGTATTTTATATTATGTCCTTAATACCTTTTTGAAATTAACAGAAAAGTTTCTAAAATGCAGTGGTTCATCTCTCAGACCTCGTTATTCTGTCTCCATAATGTGTATCACAATAAAAATGACTGACAAAGGACTTTGAATACAAGTGAATATAGAAGCTCTATGCAAATATGCCTGTGGAATCAAGAGAAAGAAAGAAAAAGCTCTTGGAATTGTTTATGCTTTCTTTCATCTGAAGTGCGATTTTCTCTGTACATCAGATAACATATTGATTTTAGTGTACTTCAATTCTCAATTTTCCATAAACCATAAAAACCTTAATGACTTCTCCAAAGCTCAAGTGAGAAACAATCAATTAATTTTCCCAGCAGTTCAACTCTGTCAAAATTAAAGTGCTGTTTTAATGAATTTTTCAGACATTTAGGCTCTACACAGCAGCAGTTTAATGCCAAAAAGTCTTTCTTTGACCATTTCAGGAAAAGTTTAAATATATACCAATTAAACAGAAAGTTCAAATGTTTTAACCTTTATAATAGGCATGAAAATGCAAGTCACTTTACATGGCATATTTCTAGAGCTTAACCTAATGCTAAGTCTACAGCAGCTCTGAACAGAACTGTTGCAGAATCATCCATAATATAACAGTGAAATGCACCAGCTACTACACATGTGATGCCATTCCTCCATGTTGTGATTTGAGGGAACACACACACACACACACACGATTGTCCTACTTCCCTCCATAGGTCTGATATCTAAAAATTCCCACTGCCAATACTACCTCTTTGAAATGAGCCATTTTTTAAAAGGCCATAGTAAAATAGTAAAAATTCTCAGAAGGGAAAAGAGGATAGGAAATTAACATGCTTTCATTTGCACGATAATGACCAATAATACATTAGCACACATTAATTTATCGGATTACTTAACTTTCACTTAGAAAGCAGGGATTACAATTGGGACAGGTGCAGTTTGGAATGGTGGAAAGCAGGTGGCAACAGGGAAGTCTCCAGGGAGACAGAACAAATAGCAGTGATGGAAAAGAAGGTTCTGAGAAGGGTAAGGATTTGCAAAGGCTGCAAGTAGCTTCAAAGTAAGGTTTATTTCAGGCTGCTCTGAATATGACGAAGAAGAATAAAACACTGGAATATTAATTGAGCTGTGAAATGAGTTAAAAATAGAACTAAATTACAGACAGATAGGAAACTCTAAGTTTCATTTGTAGAAGAATATGGATTGCGCTTTCAATAAAAGTTCAGTGATGTTGCTTGCTTGATACAATCTGCTTCATCTGGGGCATGAGAGAATCCACAGTGATTCTAAGAGGAGACCTTCATGGCATTTCATTTAGGGCCTGTTCAGGTTTTTCTGTTCTATTTTTGGTTTGTATTTGATTTTTCTGGTTTGTTTGTTTTTGTCACTTGGATTATAATGTAAAATTTACTTAATGACTTAGTGAATTTAGGGAAGCTATCTCGAAGCTTCTTTATCTTGTTTATAATATTCTCTTTGCACAAGACTGGATCTGTTACAGTTCTTTTACGAGGAGGAGGCACTTTCACACACAACCATTAAACAGTCTAATTTGCCATTTGGCCTGTTTCCTGTTAGATTTCAAGGTGGTTGTAGACAGTCACATTTCTTAGTGCTCATCTAATCTACTCTTTCTTACAATTTTGAGTTAATTCCTTTGTCTGCCTGTTAATCATTTATAGGCATTTCCATAGGATAGGTCTTTTCGAATCTCCCACAGGACTGACTGCAAAGTGCAGTGCTAGAGGACCTTGTGTGTCAAGCCCTGGGACTTCTTCACCTACAGAAAGCAGGTTGGTATTCTTTCTTGGAAGCTGACCTGCCTCACAGTTGCTGTAATAGAAGGAGAGGGCTATTATCTTTTGAACTGAATGCAGTTATTCCACCCCCACCATCATTTCCAGCCACACCTAAAGCTCAGGCAACTGTGTGGGTGGGCAAACAGAAGGAGCTTATTATTGTTCATGACATAAATAAAAACCAAGAGGCAACCCAGTCACCAAGTGCAGGAAAGAAAATCATATCATAAATCTCATAAATTATTTTCCATTTACATAACCAGTAGCAAATATCACTTGTAGTGCTTAAATAATGTAAATATAAACTAGGAGTGACTCTTTTCATGGATCTTAATGAAACATCGTATATAATAAGTATGGAATAAAAAGGCTCATTGAACAGATTTTAAAAAGTCAAAGATAATATAAACAAATGCTCATACATGCATAATACATATGTGTCAGGCACTTTATGTTCATTGCCGAAACTGAAGTTTTGCAGGTTGTAAAAATAAATAAGCTTACAAATCCCTAAGGGGTATTAAGAAAAATCTTTTGGTACATCAGACAAACTGATCTCAGGTTGATGTTCCTGGGGATTTCAATAGATTGGCTGGTCTTACCCCACAACTAGTGTGGAGATGAATATTACTTAGTGATAAGTTAAAGGGAAAATAGATTTGTCTTTACAAAATGCTTTTGTTCATACTCTTTACTGAGATGCCCTGCAATTATGATATAATCTATTTGCTTCATTCCAGATGTTTAGTCACTGTTACTTTGAAATAGGCTGGTGAACATTATTGTGTATTTCTTACCCATGGACAAAGGAAAATTTTAGAAAACCACATCATTTGTAAATGGTTACATTGACAGAAGCAAGAATGAAACTCAAACTTCTCTACTTCAATTTCTTAGCCTATTTACTACAGAATCGCTGATAGATATACCAATTCCTAGAGTAGTCTAGAAAAATCTCAAGTTTGCGTTTGTTTTCTCTACTGTTTTTAAAAACAATATTTACTAAAATTTTTGTATTAAAATTTAATATTGCTTTTTAAGAAAAATGTTAGAATGTATTAAAACAGAAGAATAAAACTCACAGATACTGTTAATAGATAGGACACATTTTGATGCATCTCTTCCCTTCTAAGAAAAGTTTGATTCATACTATATATACATACTGGTTTTCATTAATCTAGGAGGTCACCTTTATTAACATCCGTCAATACTTTATGCACTATTACAAAATAAACAAAAAATTATGCCAGGACTATGATGCAATGCTTAACTACTAAGAATTATTATTTTATACTTGTTGAAAGAAATCCTTTAGACATAGGTTTTATCAAATATCTTCACTTACATAATAAAAAATAAGTGAAACTAATTGTCTAGGTATTACTAAAACTTTTTCACGTTCAAACTTTAATTCTTATGATTCACTCTATGATTCAGACTTTTCAATGTTTGTGGTTTTCCACACAATATCTTCTGTTTCAGCTAGGGTATTGGCAAGACAGCATTTCCTGAAAGAGTGTTCTGTTATTGTTTCTAGAACTTGGCTTCAAGCTGACCTCATCCCACCTGCAAGTCTTAATACACTTGGACATGCCATGAAATGGCAAGAAATATTAAGATTTTAGATATGTAAAAATATTAAAATTTTGCCTCTTAAAATCTGTGAAGTACAGTATATGTAACCCATTTTTGTGGTAAATGTTATAACATGAGATTTACTACTATCTTTTAAATTATGATGGTTAAAGGCTCTACAATAGTCAATTTAACTTATTTAAGCAATCCTCTATTATTGAACATTTAGAATCTTTCCCACTTTTTGCTGTTATAAATAAAGGTATGATAGTCATCTGCAAGCATAAACCTTTGGTCACATCTTTTATTCTTTCTTTTTTTCTTTTCCCTCCCTCCCCCCCCCCCCCCCCCCCCCCTCCCTCCCTCCCTCCCTCCCTCCCTCCCTTCCTTCCTTCCTTCCTTCCTTCCTTCCTTCCTTCCTTCCTTCCTTCCTTCCTTCCTTCCTTCCTTTCTTTTTTGAGATGGAGTCTCAGTCTGTCACCAGGCTGGAGTGCAGTGGTGTGATCTCGGCTCACTGCAACCGCCGCCTCGGGTTCAAGCGATTCTTCTGCCTCAGCCTCCCAAGTGGCTGGGACTACAGGCGTGCACCACCACGCCCAGTCATTTTTTGTATTTTTAGTACAGACAGGGCTTCACCATGTTGGCCAGGATGATCTCAATCTCCTGACCTCGTGATCCGCCTGGTTCAGCCTAGGTAAAATGATATGTGATTTGCAATTTCTATATATTGCCAGATTGCTAACTGAAATGTTTGAATCAACCAATGACCAGTAGACTATGTAGGCACACAATATTTTCTAACCAGTAGTTTTCACTACTCCTCAGCATATATACAAATTAAATCTTGCCTCTTGACCAGCTTACACTTTCCTTTCATTTCTTCCTTTATTTTTATCACCTCCAACATGATAAATAATTCCTTTCCCTGTTTGGTATTTACTCCTTTAATGATCCTATGAATTTCCACCAAGAAAGCTCTTAGTCATTGCTTCCTCAGTCTATACTAGATATAGCCAGCCACCTTAATTTTCCTCTGAAGTCAGTTTTCTTAATCACTTCATTGCTCTAATTTTTTTAGATACTCAAGGGACTAAACCTGAATTTATTATTAGCAGCTTTTTGTCATGAAGGTAGGCGCCTTCTATTTAATTTTCCTGATGAAATGCTTATTTATGTCTAGTCTTCTATTCAATTAGTCATTTTTGCTCTTGTTGAGGATAATGAAGTCATTGCTATCCATTCTGACCTAAAAGGTTTCTTTTAGAAATATTGTCAGGCCTTGGTGTAATAAGCAAGATTTCCATCTCTTGTATATTTATGGGCCAAGTCTTTCTGATCACAGGAGGTTTATGTAGGAAATTAAAACTATTTTTAATATTCATCCTTTCAGCAAGCATGCACTGGGCACACACTATGTATAAGGTGCAATGCTTAATGCCTGTGATAATACCAAGGTACATAAGGCACATTCCTGGTCCTATAATAATATGTCAAATTTATTGGATTCTCTTTATGCATCAGACTTGGGTCTAAATGTTTGCATGCACTAACTCATCTAATCCACCCAAAATGATATGAGATTGGTCCTATTACTAGCCCCATTTTACAGATAAGGAGACAAAGGCAGGGAGAAGCCCAGGATCACTCAGATGGATAATTTGAGATTTGAACCTAGGCTGTCTGAATCCAGAATCAGGTTACTTACTACAGAGCTTAGAGAATAGTAAGATAGACCAGATTTATGCATAAGATTCGCTCAGATGCTATAAACAAGGACATGGTAGTGCAGGGGGTAGGGGAAACGGGTGAAATCAAGATGCAAAGAAGAGGTAGAATAAGTTTGTTGTGTAGAAATAAAAGTTTGTTGGGGAGAAATGCAAGTGAGTAGTACAATGTCGGGTGGAAAGACAAACTTTAGAGTCCAACACCCTGGACTCAGATTCTGGCTCCAGCACATATTAGTTGTAAGGCAATTTCTCTTAGCCTCAGGCACTCAACTTATTTTAGTCCTAATGAGCAAAGGTATAAAGTGTAGAAACACATGATATGTTTAGGGAATGGAAGTAATACTGGGTAGAGTACTTAAGGGGATATTAGGGACAGTTCAAGGAAGGAAGGAAGGACATGTGTGTGCTCGTCCACAATAATTGTGGCAGAAGACAGAATAGGTATGAGGAATTCTTGGAAGACTTGAAGACAGCAGAAAATGGATGGTCATTTTACCTAAAGGAAAACAAGTACAACAACAATAAGATTGACTGCAGTGCACTTTGGAGTAAGAATAGACTGAAGAAGTGAACCTGGAGGAGGCCGTCGGGATTGTCCAAGAAAGATAAGGTCAATAATCAGGGCAATGCCTGGAAAAGAAGGAGAGATATTCCAAAATTATTTCAAAGGTAGATTTGAAAGAATTTGATAGCCAACTGGGGATGTGGGACTGAGTCAAAATGTTCCTCAGGTTTTTGCCCCAGGGACCTGCAATGATGACAATTCCTTTGCAGAGAGAAACTGCAGTTAGTTTAGGTGTGAATCAAGAGTTGAAAACTTGGATGTCAGGGGTATAGTTGACTTCCTGAAAAGTTTGAATGCAAAGGCAAAGAGACAGTGGAGAGTTTGAGTGTCAGTAATCCTAAGGTTCAATTAGGAATGTGAATTTCTTTAGGATTAATCCTTTTCTTTCTTTAGCAGAACCCAAAGTTAATTATATATTATGGAGTCTTCCTCTCATGCTTATCAGAAACCTTCACTTTTTTTTTTCTGGATTAAGTATTTCTTTGAGAACTTAATGAAAGCTATGAACTTCTTTTATCCCCAAATTTGTGTGTGTGTGTGTGTGTGTGTGTGTGTGTTCGTATTGGGGGGATCATAAAAAGACACAGAAAATTTTGCATACAATTTTAGGGAGTTCTTGTATTTTTAGAAGCTCATGAATCCCAATAATCTACTCTGCATAACTTTTTTAAAACAATGTGTTAATTTTTTTCTATCTATAATTAGCTGCACATCAGGTGCTGTGCTAAGTACCCCACTTATATTAGCTCATTTAATCCTTCCCACAGCATTTCCATGTAGGTATTGCATTTCGAACATGGGTGACATGGAGTTAGACTTGCCCAGGGTCACAGAGCTAGTGTGTGGTATAACCAAGATTTGAACTTAGGTCTCCATATTATGGTTATCCAAAGAAACAGAACCCATAGGTTGCATATAAATATGGAAAGGAATTTATTATAAGGAATTGGCCCACATAATTAGGGAGGCTGACAAGCCTCAAGCTCTGCAGGGTGAGTGGGCAAGCTAAAGACCCAGGAGAGCTGATACTGCATTTCCAGTCTGAGCCCAAAGGACTGAGAACCAAGAGTGCCAATGGAGTAGCTCCAGTCCAAAGGCAACAGGTGTGAGATCCGGGAAAAACCGATGTGTCAGTTCATGTCTGAATGCATGATAAAGCATATGACCCTATCAGGCAGGAGGAATCCTCTTTTACTTGGAGGAGGGTCAATCCTTTTTTTCTACTTAGGCCTTCAACTGATTGGATGAGGCCCACTGCCCATCCAACATTGGGTAGGGCCATCTATTTTACTCCGTCTACTGATGTGACTGATACGTTTACCCCAAACACCCACACAGACCCACGAAAAATAATGTTTGACCAAATCCGTGGGTGTCTGCTGGATCAGTGAAGTTGACACATGAAATTAACCATCACAATCTCTCTGGCCCCAGTTGCAGTGCCCTATATTGTCATTTTTAAAAATATACTCTAATATTTTTCCTAGGTGAACTTCCTGTTTGCTTTCAAACACACCTTACTTAAATTATCCATGTTAGAGCTGCTGCTTTTCCCATGTTTCATCTCTCTCCCATTACGTTCTCCTAACTGAAGATTTTAAAGTAAAAACAACTTGAATTCATTCTTTGTTTTATCCTCTCTGTATTTTTTCCCCAAGATGATAAACTATCCAAGGAAGTTTCTTTCATTTTGAATGTTGAAAGAGGATTTGTCAGGTAAAAGTGAATCCACAGATACCCACTAGGAGTGCATATCAGGTGTTAAAAGAGTTTTCAAATTCACTGTATGCAATGGAAAATAAGTGCTGTTTTTTGGTAGCACTATTGAAAATTTCAGGTGCCTGCTTAGTATGCAGTGTGTGTGTTCATAAAAAGTCAATGCACGATTTAAAAAAATATATTGTGGATGTTTTTAGGCCGTGGAGCAAATCCAAAATAACAGCTGGGATTTTACTTCTCCTGGGGGACTCCTCAAACTCATGAAATTCAGTCCCAAGAAGTCATAACACTCTGTTAGTATGAAAGCCCTGTGAGCAGGAGATTGGAAGCTCAGTTGTCAGAGTACAAAGGAAATGAAAGGGAAGTTGCTCTTTCTCTCCATCACACACATTTTCAGCTCTTCAATAGACTGAACGTATCCATGCAAGCTTGAAAAAGATGATCAAACAATAAAATTAAAGCTTTTAGTTTACAGGGTTTTTCTTTTCTTTTCTTTTCTTTCCTACCAGGTGAGGGAGGTATTAGGAGTAAGAGATTATGTCTTCTTGCCCCTTTATTTTGAAAATTTTACATTGAAAAGGAGATCAAGTGAGGCCACATTTAAGAGTAGGTCTCTTGGCCTATACAATCAACTATGCACACTAGTTAAGGTAAAAGAAATTAAACTAAATTTTGAATTCTATAAACCCAGGCTGCAAAACCTTTCGAGCTACACAAATAACTAGGAAGAATTTATGTTCAAATAAGGACCACAAATTCTTAATATAAGTGAGATGATGTCTATAAACAGTGGCTGTAGTTGTAGCTTCAGTCTTTAAAGGACATTGATTTTCAAATTTAGTAAAGGAGAAAAATAATATATCTTATGTCCTACTGGCTGGTAGATATCTTCCTCATAAAGCTCCAAATAGTGCTATAATTTCCTTGGAATAGATTTTTATAAATGGTGCTTTGAACATAAGATGATTTTAGACAATGAAACCAAGTATTTCAGACTAAGTTCTTTTTTCTTTTTTTATTATACTTTTAAGTTCTGGGGTACATGTGCAGAATGTGCAGTTTTGTCACAT